AGCGTTATGGAAACGACAAAGAAACGAACCCTTAGTTGTCAAAACAACCATGACCATCATTCAAAAGACATTATATTCAAAACCTAGTTCTAACAAAGCATTAAAAGGTTTTCCTTTCGAATAAAACAAGTTTCAATATCCCAGCGTTAATAGTTTTAGTTTTATTGGCAAATCAAAAGGGTCAGTTACTTCTGGGACACCCTGTATATATAGGTAGCATAGAATAGGCTGGAAGAAACCGACATGCACTCACATCCGAGAGGGACGAAATCCGAAGTGAGTGAATGTGGCAGTCGTTACAGTGAGGTCCTGTGTGAGTCAGACTTCAAGGCGATTGGCCAGACTCTTTTGGGGTAAGCAGGCATTGGTGCTTGCTAGCAGCCACGAGTGCGCGGGCACTCGAAGAAATAGGATGAAGAATTTGCACCGAAGGTCTGAATTTGTATTAGTTTAAACCATTCGTTTTGTTTTCCTACTTCCCTCGCGTTTCGCATTTGTCAAATATAAGGTTGCATTTATGGGGCAACTTTCCGACCGTTTCTACCTTACTTGTCATTCCCTGGGAGAATTTTAATGGCCCACGTCTTTTCCTTGTTTCACTTAAATTTAAGATAAACTTTGCATAATGTGTCACGAGACTCGGCTTCCGCCTTACACACTTCGTTTTAAAGGCAGGTCTAATGAATATCACATGTCGCCTTTTGATTGGTATATAGCATTACCGGCAAAAACAAGATATAATTGGTGGGTTGTTGAGTGAGATACGCTTTATTTTTAATATATCATTGCAAATTTTCAGCAAATACGTCCTGCATTCACAAGGAATAAAATTAGGCGCCCAAACTCACAGCACCGGGAAATAGAGAGCAATCTATAATTGTCAATGACTGCAATTTTCGACATTATGGATAAATGTCCTTGGAAACTTTGTCAAGTATATGCCAAATTGGACTGTTTTCAAAACGGCGATAGCGTCGTTCACTGATGACTTCATTGTAGTTCAATTAAACAAAGAGTGATAAAAATTGGTTTATAATGGGCGAAGTAGGCCAACCGATGTAGATATAAGAAACTTTACATGCGAATAGAGGGAGTAAAAAATGGCGGCTCAATTTGTAAACCCGGCCTTTACAGCCAAACATTCAGTCCTGAGGAGGACTGGGTTATTGAGTCAGTTGGCAGCCCTTCGTGGCCTGACCCTCAGCGTGCCTTATTTATTGAGTCTTGATTGGTTTTTACGTGCCATATTTGCTTGCCAATACAGACCCAGACAACCGAACTTATTGACGCCGCCCTCTGTTTATGCGCCCTGTCTACGGACCCTAATTCAATCCGGTTTGCGCGCTTCACGGCAGCCGAATTGGAGCAGCTGACGCCACAGCTGATTAACGCGTCCAAAGTCCTTGCTTTGAGACCCACTTCCACGGTATGTCGCTATCCCTGTTCACCTATATCTATAAGTGGCAGCTAGGCGTCAGGCCGCTTAATTTAGCGGACATTTCCGTTTTTATTTGTTGAGAATAATAGGCAGTGCCTTTGAAAACCTTATTGGTTACATGCCTGTGTGTGTATGCATTTTTACACACATGCTTGATAATTGTTACTTTAAAAACGGTGAGTAGAATTGTTTTTACAAATAACTCTTGTCTAGAGTTTGTGTGGTACTAGGTAAGGGTCAGATTGTCGAGGCACAACAGGGGCCATAAATAATTATTAAATCCTTTCCTGAAGAGCTGTAGGGACGTCTGCGGAGACGCTGTCTCCGATATTGATTCTTATAGCTAAGTACGGATGCGCGTTGGATGAGAACGATTTGTGTAGCCGCCTTACCAGCACATGGAAATAGGAACGCCCAACCCATTCCAGATTGGATGCACATGCGAAAAAATTTCAGGAAGAATAAATATCCCCGTCTGTTAACCCCAACGTTAATCTGGCGCAAAATTACACCGTAGCCTTAATCCTAGCCCTA